TTTTATTTCGAAGTCGGCCCAATTCGTTTTCGTCCTACCATAGTGCAGATGCGGACAGACGGTGAGGATATTCGGTGCCTGGGTTGAATTTAGACCAACGCAACATGGTCGTTCCATCACATTGGATCTCTCAATAACAATGTGAGATGTCGATTTACGTACTTGATCGTGGCAAGTTTGTTTCTCATGTGCTAAACGCAAGTGTCAGAAAAGACTGAAGTCATCATATTCTGGTGTTTCGGTTTAATCCACTTTGTTCTCCGATCGCTTGCGACCGTTCTTAGGGTTGAAATAGTACTTGTGATCAATTGAAATGCGATTGTCTCCATCATAACTTGTGTTGAATGCGGTCATCAACTGTTCGATGGCGGAAGTTGCGACTAGTTGACCGGGTCCAGATTAGAATGATGTTTTGTGGCTCGCTCTGTTTGATTTTCATTTTTTCACATGTGTAGTACTATTTTTAGAATGTTTCTGATTCCTAATGATATATTTGTTCAAGTTTCCTATACCAATTGATGATGATAATGACTCGCAATATCAGGTGGAAACTCAGTAATATAAACGTTTATCTGTAGTCCATCTTTGGATAAAGAGATGTAACAGTAAGCATTTTAAAACCGAACAATATGATGGAGCTCTTCTCCATAGGGGATATTTCATACTGTTTTTCTACACTTGAGAGGTTCATTGTCATAGAATTTCATTGTGATCATTGTACATAGCCCTATTCGATTGGAATTGGCATTTTGCGTTTTATAGCTCCCACCGGATTTTTATTGTATCATCAAATTATTGTCATTTTAATCTTAGTTTTAATTATCACACTTGTCTATGTAGAGACTGTGTGCCAAACAAACCACAGTAAAATAATCCTTATATATATGCGCTTCTGGATAGGTTTGGTCCGTGGTTTCTGAGTCGTTCAGTATGGGCACACTGTGAGTGAATTAGAAAACCCTCTGGGTAATTTTCTGATCAAACCCAAGAATCCCCTCAGAGTCGCAGCATTCACCAACTTCATTCTAATTTGTCCGTCTCATTGCGCTCCATTTTCTCAATCGAAAACCAAGCAATGGTTAACCAGACGATATAGCCCCGAAAATCAGCATGTTTGCTAACTTGTAATTTTTTATGCTCACTATATCAATGTCCACACAAAACATGTATTTAATTCTTTTTCAATTATTTAAGGTGGCTTTTACAGGTAATCGAGGGACGTTTACTCGAGTTGGTACTGTTAAAAGATCAGTAGAATCGAACCCTCCTATGAGCCGCACCACATAGGTAGTCATATGACTTGGTCTCAGTTGTGAGACTACGTTTGATCACCTAAGAAAAACTCCTGACTCGAAATTGCTCAAAATGGCTTTCTGATAGATGTCATTATGTCACAAATATGTCCCTACTATCGGTCTGAATTCTCTTGTTTTTATTGCTGTGTGACAGAATTCGGCATGCGCCTCATTCTCGGACTGCTGTTATTGGCAACTGCCTGTGTGGGTGAACTGCACTGGGACTATATAACTTTCACGCAACAATGGGCCGGAACATTGTGCAACTTTAAACACGTAAGTTATGCAATCAATCGGATTGGACCACATATTGTCATACAACTCCTTCCTCAATCCCTATCATGAAAGAAACTATTGTATCACGGCACCGTTAATCAAGGTGTGCTATTCTATTTATCCGTATTCACTGCCATAACCAACAAGATGTGTGTCATACGACTCTTCTTGGTTTCCTCTATATAGAAAGAAGACAAATGTCTCGAGATGTTAACATTTCGTTTATTCTTCTCAATCGCTTACTTAAAATAAACAAGCACATAGGTAGCACATGGAGCTATTCGGTTATGATGAATGAACGTGTACAAGCATACACAGATAACTAAACATAGAAGTGGAAGGTCAACTCCACGGTAAGTGGATTGATTGTGTGAAAAACTTTGGTGCGCATAAGGTCGGGTGATGTAATCAAATAAGCAGCGCTTCAGTAATGGCCGAGAGTTTAGTATTGCGAAAAAGTGATAAAATGGTTTGAAAGACGAATTGGGTTCAACTCTGTGTCTTGTCATGATATGTTTTGTGACAGATGACCCTGGACTTCTTGTAATCACTTGACCATCAATGGGGTCACCCGTTTCACCTACCACTTTGGAATATGTTCGGCCATCCACTGCGAGAGCTGACGGTTTGTTCTGCCTATGCATGCGTCACCGTCAGGTGAACTGGTATTCAGTGTGAGAGAGAACCGGTTTGCCAGCCATGTCTACCTTTATCCAGATCAATTCCACGGGTAGAGGCAATGAGTTTGAGTTGAGCAGCTGGGAATGTACGGCCTAGATTTGAACTTAAATTGTGGTGCACATCATTGTAAATGTAGTCACCTTTGAACGCAAGCTTTAAGTAAATGGTCTTTTTGCTAACGTTTGGGATTAGGTTTCCTTTTGGGAATGGTCTACTGTGAATGTCTGCAAATCTTTCTGGGTAACCGTTGTTCAGTAGAGTTCTCCTCAGAAAATCCTCTTCCTTTAGTGTGTTAGCAGAACAAATGTTTCTCTCTCGATAAAATAGGGTTCTCACAAGCTCACGTTTGTAAGCCATGGGGAAAAGCTGGAAAAGTGTAAGTACTGGCCATTCCATGTCGCTTCTCAATGAACTGAGCGTTGTAGTGTCCCATTTATCCGCCTTGTACCTTTATGTTCAGAAAATCTAGTATTGTTGGTTTTTACTTCATGAGATACAGTGAGATGTGGATGGACTGAGTTAAAACAACCCCGTGTGTTGTATATGTGCCTGTTCGTTTCAAGCTAGAAATTGAGAAGATTAGACGAAATGTTAACATTTCGCGACATTTGTTTCCTTTGTATACTAATGAAGTGGATAAAGGGAATCCAATGCTTCAAGTTTCTTCTTGGTTTGTTTGAAATCAGTGTTTCCAGCCAACTACACTAGATGAGCTGTTGGAGTTTGACCAATCGGGTTGTAGTCTCTGGTGGAAGCCTTTCTTACTCTTACTTTTGCGACGCAAAAGCAGAAAATAAAGCTACCTCATTGATTGCACCTTGAGATATTTTGTCGTGGAGGAGCATTTTTTAACTTAATTGAAGGCTGACTAGCCAGAATCTAGATATCCAATGCGCGCTGTACTGAGGCT